GAGTGTCCGTGTGGTCTGCAATATGTGGGCGGGCCTTCATGGGCACTCCAGGTGATAATAGGAGAACATCTGAGCAATATTAAGAAAGGATACAAAGGACATAGTCTTTTGTGGCATTTTTCACAGTATCACAATAAAGACCCCTCAGTGTTGAAGGTACACTGAGGGGTCTTTATTGTGATAAAGACTCAGTGGAGATCCTACATTATACAAGGTTTGAATTTGGAGCGGGATCTCAACTGTTTTATTAATAATAGTTGATTACATTTCTCCTCATCTGGTATTTTTATTTTAATAACACTTTTTTTTTTTTATTTGTGATTTTAATGAATTTCATATGATTTTATGTGAATAAAAATGCATTGATGTTTTGATATGCATGTTGGTTCTTGCAAGTTTTTATATGATGCCAGTATTTATTTTGTTATGCATTTGTATATGCATTTTGCTGTGTGATTACCATATAGCCTGTGTCCATTAGGTGGAAGTTGGCATATATCTGTCATATTAGCTTGCATAGTATAAACAATTTTGATTTAAATTTTTTTGTATGTTTTTTTGGTTGGTGTTTGCCTCATGGATAGTGACTTGTTTTTTGAAGCGATGACAAACTCCTTCTGACATTGGCATCATATAAAGGCTTTTACCAGTCATGAACAGCTTCCAGTTTCCCGACTTGACCTATCATGAAATATGTCAGGCTGGGCTTTTTTGTGACATCACCAGGCACGCCGTGGTTATGTTGCTATTAAGCCCGTGAGTTACTCTTTTGAAGAAATCCTGCATATTTCTAAATGATGGGCCATGGAGAATTGAATTTATTTTTGAGCCTGAGATGCACCTTTTGATGGCTGTCTGCTGAAGTGTAAAACCAATGTGAGTGCCACCAAGAGCAGAAATAGGCTACTGGGCTTCTAGAGCCTAGGGATTACTCCTGAGACAGAGGAGCTGTGTAGGAATGTGCATTGGTGGTGGTGTCACATTGGGCAAGTTTATTGTAGCACTTTGAGTACAAGTTTTAAAGCTGAAGGACTGCACTATTAATTTACCACTGTGAATTTACGAAATTTATATGAACATTTTTTTGGACTAATGGTGTATGGAATCTTATATGAATTTGTCTTTTTTTGGCATTTTTTTATCAAAAGTTTGCACACAATGTCATGAACAACTTTTGCACATGATTTGGATTGTTTTTTACATTAATTAAGTTATATGAACTACTTTAATGTTTTATGTTAATTTTTATGCTTGGTTGGATCAGTTATTGAGCACTTTAATCACTTTATATGGTGTAGTATTTAAAAGGACAACACACCAACTGTACATATTTAGTATTCGGATCTGAGAGTTGCGGCAGTCTTTACAATTTAATTTGTTTTTCACACATTAGCATTTATTTACAGGACACAGAGCAGGTTTTTATTTATTCAGTTATATGGTTAGCCATGCTGAAAAAAGAAACAAGTCCATCTAGTTCAATTAATGAAAAAAAAATTAAACATAATAAAAAAATAAAGAACAAACTGTCTGCGCTGCTGTCTTTGGAGGGTGACACTCAGTACTCCTATTAGGGTAATCCCAAACTTTTACTGCTCTCTAAGTAAACCACTGGATTTGGTAACCTTTAGAAAACAAACCAAACACCAAAGTGCGCAGTTTCTTTGAACAAATAGATAATGAGCTGAATGTTCTTCTTCCACCTTTGGTACTAATATAATATGATTAAATCTTATGAGCTGAACACCTATGCCACTTGGTAATGATGCCCATAAACCTTAGCCATGAAAGAAAGTCTAAGGAGCAGCATAAGGTTTAACCACTTGCCCTCAAGAGGATTTACCCCTGACCAGGCCATTTTTTTGTGATACAGCTCTGGGTTACTTTAACTGACAATTGCACGGTCATGTAATGCTGCACCCAAATGAAACTTACGTCCTTTTTTCCCTACAATTAGAGCTTTCTTTTGGTGGTATTTCATCGCCTCCTGAGGTTTTTTATAAACAAAGAAAGATTCACAATTTTGAAAAAAAAACCTATTTTTTTATTTTTGACTTTTTGCTATTAAACATGTCCAGTAAAAAATTTTAAAAATCAAATTTAATCATATACTTAGGCCAAAATGTATTCTGCTACATGTCTTTGCTAAAAAAAAAAAAAATCCCATATGTATACATTATTTGGTTTATGTTCTAGCATTTACAAATGACAGTTTATATACCGGAATTTTTTTTTTAATAGTAATGGCAGCAATCGGCGACTTATAGAGAGACTGAGGGACTGCTGTGGGCATTCTGACACTGGGGGGAACTGACTTGGTGTCACTGACATCCCCAGTGACGACAATACAGTGATCAGTGCTAATAAACAGCACTGACACTGTACTAATTATTATTATTATACAGTATTTATATAGCGCCAAAAGGTTTCCTCAGCGCTGTACATTGTAGTGGGGGACAGTACATGGGACAATACAGTAACAAAACAATACACGAGGGGTTCGAGGGCCCTGCTCTTTTGAGCTTACAATCTAGGAGGGAGGGGATAGAGGTACCGGAAGAAGTGGCTATGGGGGATGGAGTGGTAGGAGGAGTAGAGGAGATCGGCTGTTAGGTGAGGGTGGGGTAGGCTTCCCTGAAGAGATGGGTTTTCAGGGGGCGCCTGAAGGTGAGGAGGGTAGGTGACAGTCTGATGGATTGGGGTAGTGAGTTCCAGAGGATGGGGGAAGTCCTGAAGATGTCCTGCAGTCGGGCGTGGAAGGAGGAGACCAGGGAGCTAGAAAGTAGGAGGTCTTGTGAGGAGCAAAGATTACGGGTTGGGTGGTATTTGGGTATCAGGTCGGTGAGGTAGTTTGGGGCAGCATTATGAGTGGCTTTGTATGTCAATGTTAGTAGTTTGAATTTAATGCGTTGAGCAATCAGAAGCCAGTAGAGGGAATGGCAGAGGGGGGTGACAGAAGTGGAGCAGTTGCTAAGGTGGATGAGTCTGGCCGCTGAGTTCAGGATGGACTGAAGCGGGGATAGCCTGTGTTGGGGTAGGTCGGTGAGAAGGGAGTTGCAGTAGTCCAGGCGTGAGATAATAAGGGAGTGAACAAGTCGTTTAGTAGTGTCTGGGGTTAGAAACGTACGTATCTTGGAGAAGTTGCGGTGGTGGAGCTTGCATGAAGTTGCCAGCGATTGGACATGAGGTTGGAAGGATAATGACACTGGGCAGGAAGGGGTTAACATGTGGGGCAATCAAAGGGTTAACTGTGTGCTGTTTTACTGTGTGCTGTGTGTGCTTTACACTGTAAGCACACTGCTTTGTACGGCTCTGCTATGCAGAACCGTACAAAGCAGTGTGTAGGAGCTAACAGGGGAAAGATCTGCGTTGTTTATACACAGGTCTCTACCCCGTTGGTAATACTCGGAGATCACCGGGTGCCGGTGATTGACAGCCGAGGCTGTGAATGGCGGCGCAGGTGGGGCACGTACGCTCCCTACCCCGAACTGCAAAATCACGTACATATATGTGATTTTTCGCACCCCTGCCCCCCCCCATAGCAGTATTTTTGCTGAAGGGCGGTGCAGAAGCGCTTAATGGAAATGTCCTCTTTATTTGTACACAAAAATTTCTTAGTAGCCAGAAGTAAAAACTTAATGCTCAAATGTTATTCTTGAGGCTCCTGCGTGGTGGACCTGCAAAGTAGATGCTATAGGATGTTGTTCATCATGGCTAAGGTTTATGAGCATCATTACCAAGTGGCATAGGTGTTCAGTTCCTACAATTTAAACACATTATATTAGTGCCAAAGGTGGGCAAAGAACATTCATGCCATGCTCTATTTGTACAAAGGAACTCTGTGCTTGGTGAACTCTGGTGTTTGGTTTGTATAATAAAAGAAAACTTCCACATACAAAAACATGGTCCAAAGCACGGTTAAGGTCTATTAATGTAACACTAATTTTTGGCAACTATTTCTTTAGTAAACAACACAAAATACACATGACTATTACTGAATTGTTGACATTAATATTAAGATTAACAGATTTGACACACGTTGTCAATAAAGCAACTTTCATCATCTCACCTAAAATGAAACTTAACTCAGAGTTTAGGTGCATAAAAATGCAAAGGAATTAGGGAAGCAGGGTTGGGATATTTGAAGGAGGACTATAGGCAAAAGATTTTTTTTTTCATTTTGGGTAGAGTAAGGGGAGGGTTATAATCCCTGTCAGTTTGTTTTCCATCATTGTCCCATTGGGGAGATTTCCTGTCCCATAGCTCATACAGGAAGTTAAAGGAAATCCATTAGGGTACCCCAGGTCACCACAACTAGTGTCCCTAACTAGATTTTCCACTCTGTTACTGTTCTGGGGACAACCCAAAATGTAGGATTTTCTTTTACTTTCACTTTGGATAATAACAGTAAACATGACATATAGAGAGGGTGAATCTCCCTAATGGGGGTAAAGGTGGCAATAAAACCTGACAGGCGTTCTAACCCATCTCTACTTTTTCCAAAACTAAAAAGAAAGTTTTGCCTTTAGTATACTGTAGGTGTGAAAACCTTCTTAATAGTTGAAAACAGTGCCCCAGTTGCAGCCAGGTGACCTAAAAAAGATATGGTAGGTCATGTGACCTGCAGCAGCTCATAAATTTTCATTCTCAGTGTACTGTCATTATGAGCTGTGGACAGGTGAGATGGAACTGAAGTCCCATTTAAATCTGATGTTTTCAGCTGACATGTTCACAATTTGTTGATGTAAAATTACCAATTCCTGAAAATGTACTTGTATAATCCATCTGAAAAGGTAGCATGTGTTGTGCCACACACGGGCGGACTGACCATTTGGAAACTCGGGCACTGCCCGAGAGCCGGGGTCAGTAGGGGGCCCCATGAGATGCCCCTGGTACCTTTTTCATAGGCTTTTTTGAGTTTGGGCAAGGACACAGGGGCCCCATGATCCACTATTGCCCGGGGGGCCCCATGAGTTGTCAGTCCGCCCCTGGCCACACAGTAATATGTGACATCACGCTGTGATAGAAAATACAACAGGTAATATATGAAGAGCATCATTCAAAATCTGCTACCTGTGTACAGTATTCACTTTCCTAAAATTATATTGGATAATGGAAGAGTATTTCAATCTAAATGCCAAAAGATAAGAAAACTAACTTCAGCCTTTCTTATATTAAAAAAAAATCGGAAAGACTTTCCATATTTAAAGCAGAGCTCCACCCAAAAAGGGAAGTTCTGCTTTAAGGACCCATCCCCTGCTCCCCGTTAAGAATTGGTACCGTTGAGGAGTGGGGGAGAGTAGCAAATACCCAATTTTGACAGGTACTCGCTCCCACTCCTCCCACTTAAAGTATACATTTTATGCTAAAATTTGTCCTAGATAAAATTACTGAACAAAACAAAGTAAAGCAAAAAAACACTGATTTTTTACTACTTTGATCCATATTAGTTTAAAAAAAATAATGTTAAAGTAGATAAAAAGTATAACATTGTATTCTTTAATTTGTCCTGGATAACTATGTCTGGTACAAAACACAAGAGAAATTATTTGAAAATTAATAAAGTATTTTTTTTCACTTTTGCAGATTTTGTAAAGCAACATTAAATAAAAATCATGGAACAAAACAAATTAAAGCACTAAAGATACAGTTTAATAGTTAGAAATAGAATAAAAATAATCAGAAAAATAATAGTTATGGGGAGAGGGAAGGGGTTCACAAGGGCTGATTAGTGTTAACAAAATGCATAAAATACATATAAATGACTTTACAAGCACATGAACTTTAATGGCATCCCAGTCTTAGTCCATAGGGTTCAATATTGAGTTGGCCCACCCTTTGCAGCTATAACAGCTTCAACTCTTCTGGGAAGGCTGTCCACAAGCTTTAGGAGTGTGTCTATGGGAATGTTTGACCATTCTTCCAGAAGCGCATTTGTGAGGTCAGGCACTGATGCCGGACGAGAAGGCCCAGCTCGTAGTCTCCTCTCTAATTCATCCCTGAGGTGTTCTATTGGATTGAGGTCAGGACTCTGTACAGGCCAGTCAAGTTCCTCCACCCCAAATTTGCTCATCCATGTCTTTATGGGCCTTGCTTTTTGCACTGGTGTGCACTCATGTCGGAAAAGGAATGGGCCATCCCCATATTGTTCCCACAAAGTTAGGAGCGTGAAATTATCCAACATGTCTTGGTATGCTGACACCGTAAGAGTTCACTTCACTGAAACTAAGGGACCAAGCCCAACCCCTGAAAAACAACTCCACACCATAATCCCCCCTCCACCAAACTTTACACTTGGCACAATGCAGTCAGGCATGTACCCTTCTCCTGGCAACTGCCAAACCCAGACACGTCCATCAGATTGACAGAGAAGCGTGATTCGTCACTCCAGGGAACATGTCTCCACTGTTCTAGAGTGCTTTATATACCACAGCATTACACTTGGTGATGTAAGGCTTGGATATATTGTAAAGTTGTTTATAAATGTCCTGATATTCAAAAGGAATTAAAAACAAGCTCTTGACTGCTATTAATTGTTTTGCTTGGTATTGATTTTTTTCAGCTGGCGATTTAAGTGATCTGGTTGTTCTAGAGCAGCAATGGGCAAACTACGGCCCACGGGCCGTATACGGCCCGGCGGACCTTTTAATCCGGCCCGTGGAGCGTGATGCTGTCAGGATGTGTGTAGGCGGGGCAGCGTGACGAACGTGAGGGGAGCTAGGCTCCTCTCACAGTCCGCCCTGAAGACCAGAACGGCGCGCGGGAACACGGCGAGAGGAACGCGCGGAGCAAAGGTAAGTGAGTGAATTACTATGGGGGATGAATTACTATATGGGGGATGAATTACTATGGGGGATGAATTACTATATAGGGGATGAATTACTATGGGGGATGAATTACTATGGGGGATTAATTACTATATGGGGGATTAATTACTATGGGGGATGAATTACTATGGGGGATGAATTACTATGGGGGATGAATTACTATATGGGGTATGAATTACTATGGGGGATGAATTACTATGGGGGGATGAATTACTATATGGGGGATGAATTACTATGGGGGGGATGAATTACTATATGGGGGATTAATTACTATGGGGGATTAATTACTATGGGGGATGAATTACTATATGGGGGATTAATTACTATGGGGATGAATTACTATGGGGGATGAATTACTATGGGGGATGAATTACTATATGGGGGATTAATTACTATGCTTACTATGGGGGAATATTACTATACTTACTATGGATGACACATACACATCATTCATCTACTCTTGGTCCGGCCCCCGGGTCCAATATATGAACCCATTGCGGCCCTCAAGTCAAAAGTTTGCCCACCCCTGTTCTAGAGCCTCCCAATCACTTGTACAATAACAGGAATGTGCCTGCCTCCTCCCCTGTAGTTCCCAGGTTCTCCTGTTCTTCTAGGGTGCCCAGGACTGCAGTAAAATGCAACAGCATGAATAACAGGAGGAACTGTAAGAACATACATTCTCTGGTCTCTTCTTCAACTAATGAACCTATAAGTGACATATATTACTTTGTTTCAGCTTTCAGAGCTCTTATTCCCTGGCTACTACAGCAATCACAAGATCTGTGCTTGATTAGCTGCAGTGGAGGGCAAGGGAGACAAGTAAAATAGACCTCTGCTACCTCCATAAAGAGTACCTGTCACCTTCCCATGCTATCACTGTAGTTTTTCAGCCCCCTTGTGATAGTAATAAGGTTAAATGAAAGAATTGTAAAAAATAGGTAAAAATAGGTAATAACCCAAGTACAAATGCATGCATAAGTCTTGCAACTAAAAATAAATTGCACCACACATCTGAGGTTATCCCCATTAAGGTCAGAGTGAGAGCAATAATTCTAGGGTCATGGTTGACTCTAAACTGAAAACCTGTAAAGGCTTTTAAAGCACCACCTATGGATAATCTTGAATATTGCAGTTGTTTTGCAATTTCATGGGCGCACACAAATTTAACGCTTGACGTGTTTGGTGGCTATTTACTCAACACAAACCCTACCTTGTATATTTTACCAACTAAAAATGGCATTATGTGTCTGCTTACACTAAAATTCTTTTTTTTGTATTTCTTCCTGAAAGACAAACAGCTTGCACCATATGAGATGTTTAAGTATTCAAATGCACAGGAGAAAAGCAGCTGTGTGGCAGGTTCTGGATACAAAGTTTAATGTTATTTGGTATACATTTGTAGATATGTACCACTAACAATGATGCTGAGTGAGTGACAGATCTACAGGATTTTCCAGCCCAATAGAGTATATTGGGTTTCCAAGAAAACTTGATCCCTCAGGTTGGAAGGGCTTTTCTAAAGAGGACAGATGACTGCATCCATACCTTGCTGCCTCTCACAAAGGGAAAACCTAACTTAAATTATGTCAGTACCAGAATATCTCTCACAGTCACCAATCAGATGTAAACCTTCCTTTGAAGTCTGAATGTGATTGGTCATCCAGAGAGAGAACAAGTTACAGTGAGACCTCCTGGATTTCCTACTGCCCCTCTGGGATGTATGTCACTTATACAATTAATTAAAAAGAACTCACATTAAAATAATCTGAGTAAAAGTTCTTATTTTTGTGACAGTGCGCTCAAATGCATTAATAGTTCACTGCATGATTTCAGTTGTTCTCTGGATTTGGTCTTTAAATGCAATCAAATCCTAGTTCTGTGTTGCAGTGTACATAACATCGCTAAGATATTTCATGATACTTAATAATGGCATTGCTTATGCCCGCACATTTCTGCGAGCTGTTATATGTAAATGAAAGCTGACCTGTGAGGTTACAGATTTTATTAAAACCACTAAATAAACAAGCATTGAATTTAAATAGGCAAAATTGCTGTCATTTCTCACAAATACCCTGACTCTTACTCTTTATAAAAAAGCTGATCATGTGAATCATTCTATTGCTAGAACCCAAGGCAAAATCATTATTATTCATTTCATATTGTTATTTTTGTTATACAACATGTAATATTACAGACTATAAGTAAAACACATTAAACAAAGATCACTTCAGCCTCATATATTATTCAATAGGAATAGTCACAAAATCACATATGTACATTACATATATACATAGCTTCCCACTGTCTTTTAACTGGAGGGCCTGCTCTTCTTTCTATACCAAATCCCTCTGTCCCTAGTGCAGCCTCAGTTGTCCTTCCCTTTTATCTGATGTGCCCATTTCTATACAAATTGTATTATTTTACTACCAAAAGTGCTATGCAGCTCTAGACTTTTTATCTAGCCCCTATATTACGGAATTTATTATTTTGAAAACCCAATATAAAGGAAAGGTAGAAGTAAAAAAACTATTTGTGTAGTTTAGCCAATCATGTTCTGCATATTAAATTTTTGTGGTCTGTGTAGCCAGGGCAGTTTCCTTTCCCTTTATATATACAGTAAGTGTACCATTTAATCATTTCAGAAAGTTGGCAGGGATGTATTTGCATTACAAAACTTTTCCAGGACACCTAAAAAATGCATTCTACCATTACCATAACAAATTTCTGGGTGAGTGGTACATGTGGTACAAGGGGTAAAGACTACCAGTGAAAAATGTAGTCCTATATACAGCCCATACCTCTTTAGTACTGTTGACCATTGACTCCTTGAAATCCATACTTGGCCTCGAACCCCACTGAAATCCATGATGTTGGTGGTGGTGGGGGGTGTTAAATCTGTTTACTAGATTTAAAAGCTATAGATTTTGAGCTTCTTTTTTTCCAGCACCATACGGCATTATCTTAACATTTTAAAAAATGTAAAAAAAAGAGTGCAGAAAACCACTTTAAACCACAACCCCACATTCCTCAACACCCCCTTCCCCATATCAAAAATTGTTTGCAAAATATTTAAAATATAGATTTCGGGTATGTGTGATAGAAATTGTCTAATGTCAGCAGCACATGAAAAGGCAGTAAATAGAAAGAGATAAAGCAGGTTTTATATTGCAATAAAAATTAGAGTGAATTATCTAAGAGGAGGGGTGTTGTGTTGTGTATTATCTAAGATCCA